GTAATATATGTAATCATATCAGATTATGTTGGGTATAATCATATCAGATGCTTGCTTGAGGGTTTAATCAACTCTCAGCTAAACCAGCCTCTCTGAAGGAAGGAGCTGGTTTCTTGGCCCACCTTGCTCTGTGGGTGCCCCCCAAGCCTGTCCCTCTTCCAGCCTCAACAGCCAAATCCTTCATGGGAATATTGAAATAGGAAAGATGCCTTCCATGCCAGGCTTCTTTTAAAGCTTGTAATGACATGAGAAATACCACGTTTAGTGTCTCGTATGCTATAATTGACATTTTAAGTGCTCCTCAGAGGAAAAAAGGAGAATTTTCAATAGATATTAAAATGAAAATCCTTTAATGTTGGTTGACAGCAGCAAACAGATACACTGGTGCTAAATTGAAGCTAACTGACTTGAATGTTCACTGGGCATATTCCATTAAATGAACTGATATTAAATGAACTTGGTTGCTTGTATTAGAGAATCCATTATTTGGAGAGGAGAGCAAGCACTAAGAGTTTCACATCAAACCCACCATCCATACATCTGTACAACACTAAACTCTTCTTTATCCCTTATCAACCTCTGTTTATCTTGTTTTGGAAGTCAAATTAATTTCTTTTCTAAAATATTTTATCAATGCAGGTAATAAGATTGATTTAGCTGATAAGAGGGAAGTCTCCCAGCAAAGAGCTGCAGAGTTTTCTGAAGCACAGGACATGTACTATCTGGAAACCTCAGCAAAAGAATCGGATAATGTGGAAAAACTCTTCCTGGACTTGGCCTGCCGGTTGATCAGTGAGGCACGACAGAACACGCTTGTGAACAATGTCTCATCCCCTTTACCAGGAGAGGGGAAAAGTATCAGCTACTTGACTTGCTGTAATTTTAATTAAAGAGCTGGCATGTGATTCTTCCTTCCACCATGGGCCAAGAGGATTTTTTTTTTTTTTTTTTGGCTGGGATTTATCTACTTGAAGGAAATTCCTGCCACTTTGAACCGTCTGACTTACCTTGAGTCAGGTTGCAGACCTGGAAGCACGGCAGGCTGATGGCTCCTGCTGCATGGCAACATAGCAGAATATAACATGGGTTAAATTTTGTTTTTCTTGCAGTCTCTGGAGTGGATTAGGCAAAGAGAGTTGTACAAGTGCTTCATGTCATGCAGAACATGAGCTACTGCATTTCCTTCTATAAGAGACTCGAGCAGCCTCTCTTGAAGACACTGAAGAGATCAAAGTCTCTCATATAGAACAATGTGTTTGGTCCTTTTTAAAATAAATAAAAAGAGAAAACTGACAATGAACACTGACCCTGGACTACACTGGCAATCTTTTGGGCTGCCAGTGAGTGAGCTCTTAGGACATGTACATAGTGTCTGCACACACATCTTCATGGAGGACTCTGGTGTTTGAAATAGTGTTACATCTTTCATCTACAGGCACTTTCATGAAATTAAAAAAAAAATGTTACATATATCAACATTTTCAAGATTTAAGAGAACACGGATACAGTTCAGTTGCTCCCTTTGGTGCTAGAAGTTCAGCAAATATTCCATAGACCAAACGTAGTCTTACTACATTACTGTTCTCTGAATGTGTAGACTGATTAGGAAAAAACACTAATAAGCACTGTTCATAAAAATCTTGTTACCTCTTTTTCTAGGCCTGTAGTGGGAAAGGACTGTGCTTCTTTGATATCCAACATAGAATGAAAAGACTTTCCAGAAGTAGGGGGGGAAAAAAATAAATTAACTGTTCCTTCGCTAATTAGTAATGTCCTAAGGTGAAAAATTAGCCTTTGGAAAGGTGATTTGTGGAGTTTGAAAAAGCATACCAGACACGATCAAAATCTTGTGTGTGCGTGGATTGTGTTTAAGGGTTCAAAGAGCACAGTTTGGAGCGGCGGTCTGCAATATGTCTGGCTTAAAAATAAAGCTTGTAGATACAGTTCTTGTTGAAAGGCAGGCATACAATTTTGTAGAAGGTTTTTTTAATGCTAAGTGGAAATAGTGATGGGTTGCAAGTGGTATCATTCTGTGTGTGACCCATCCAGTACTCACCTTGTGGAACTGCTCTCCAAGATGCTCTTGAAGGTGTCTTCTTGGCATCTAGTCTCTCTGCTAGTGTAGCTTTCAAGTTCAGGGCTGTAGAGTCACTTAATTTACTTGATGCTTTGTACTCTTGATCCCAGACTCCAGTGTATGTGTAACTGTTTAGGCAATTTCTTCCCACGAAACCCCTGAAGTGGACGCGCTATGGAGTTTGCGATGTTATTACACCTCTAGTGCCATATGAGAATAATGCGTTGCAGATTTACGTGTTGATGTTAAAGTGAAATTGGAAGATAGTGAATGCGCACATGAAAAATTATATTTAGAAGTTTGAGTTCAGTTTAGCTAATCTGGATAAATCTCTCCTGACAATTACATGGCTGTGATGTGCTGTAATTTAGAGTTAAACAACTTATATTATTTGGCTTTCGCTGAAGATTATGACAGAGCTTTTGTATTGACATAAAAAGCTGCTAGTAAGTACTTCTTGAAAAGAATAACAATTAAAAAAAAAAGGCATTTTAAAATGCTTTTTCACATTTTCCTGGAAAGACTTCTTTGGGCTGTATCATGTTGTGCCTTTGATCTGTAATGGGGAACTGACTCTGTGTCAGAGAGGGGTGATCAGTCTGTCATATGTCCATTTTTAATATTTTCTTGCTATTTTTTAGGTCACTTTCTTCTTTTGTGACTAGTGGTAAAAAGGACGATGTAGAAGTTGTGGTACAAGGCTTGTTTGTCATTTAGGTAACACTTAGCAAAGAGCTTCTGTAAGTGGGAGATGTTGGGGGACATGTCATCTGCTGCACTGGCCTGGTCTGTTTTCAGTCTCTGCTCATGGTGTAGTCCAGAGGATTTAGAAATGTGTGGGACTTGGTGGCTCCTGCTGTGGAGGACGGTGTGGTACAGCCTGTGCTGAAGAGCAAGGTTTGTCTTGAGCATTCCCCAAATTGCCAAATGCAGCTTCATTTGAGCTTGTGAAGACTGCCCAGCTCTGAGACAGCCGATTCCACACGGCTTTTATTTAGGTAATTGTTTAGAGCAAGGCTCAGGGTGTTACATGTGAGGTAACACTCAAGTTAAAAATCAGTACTAAGACTAATTTGTAAAAGCTTTTGCTCTCCAGATGCTGGACTTGTCAGCATAGAATTGATAACAAATAGGGCAAGGCTGTTTGATCGAGTTAATCCAGGAAGAAGGAGACTGCTCGCTCAAACACCTGTGGGTTCCTCAGTCTGATTTCCAAAAGCATCAAAGCTGTGCAGGTACTTCTCATTCCTGCTGAGTACCACTGTAAGTGCATTTTGAAGTGCTCCTTACATCACTTCTGGAGGTTGAACTCTGACACATTATCATGACTAAACGAGTTGAACTGGTCATGTAGCAGAAACTGCTTTTATTTTCTTGGATATTCACTTTGAGGTTTCTAGAAGGCCAAGTCTCTTTTTCCAGTGCTTTCCTAACCTGTAGGTGACTATTTTGGAGAGTAGCTGCCTACTAGCACTTGGAGCATTGGTTCTTTTTATCGCTAGCAAATCTCCATGTAAGGGCTCCATCTCCAGACAGTGATGTGCTTTTGCAGGCTTGGAGGGGGGGCAGGAGGGAGTGCTGCATTTGGGCTGATGTTACAATGAAGTATCTGACTTCTCCAGGAACAAATCTGAACTGATTCCTTTCAAGGTTTAGTCTGTGTAGACTTAAAAAGTTGAAAGAAAACAATGATGGTATGTGCAAAACGTTATAAGGTCATAAGCCAAAGCTGTAGTTTAAAACTCTGCTCCTTCTGCAGTTAACAGACGCTACCTGTTGAAAAAGTGATGTTTTATTGTAGTAATTTCTTTGCAGGAGTTATTTTTGTATACCTTTGAATATCTCTGTATTGCATATAACCCACTTCTCTGTGTAGAACTGAGGGCTTATCTTCTCTCCTGCAGTCTGTTCCACTGTTTGAAGGCTTCCCAACTAGAAGAGGAGCGTTATCAACTGCTAATGACAGCTTAGTGCTGTGGTGTAGTGGTCAAAGTCTTGAAAAATAAAAGGAGATTCAAAAAATACAGATCTCAATTATTTGACAATCAGCTCTCCAACTATGGCCAACACCTTGCTAGATGAGGGGATTTTTGAGAGAACTCCCAGTAGAAGTCTTGTGGTGCTTGCTGGGTTGAGTGTCCAAAAGCCATGCAGAATTGATATAATGGGACCAAATTTGACTGGAAATGTTCTCTACTATCAAGAGAGCAAAGCATTGCTTTTAGAGTGGTTGCTAGATTTTGATGTGTCTTCAGGGTGATATATTCACAGCCATGGAGTACTAGGCTTATTTCTGGGTTAATACTGATTTTTATATTAGTGAGACCTTTTCTTAAAAATTATTAGCACAGTGAGTAGGTCTAAGCAGAAGCCAGTATTGGATGGTCAACAGATGTTTGCGTTATCTAGCAAACCTGTTTGTAGAGATTAGTAACAGCATCTCCAGAAAACTTGGATAGTCTAAACTCTGTTTTCCCGTTCAGCCATAGATTCAGTCGGGATGATCTTGGGTAAACCACCAAATGTTCGGTGCTGCAGACCACTGTATATGAAGTATTTGCTGGGATTTTGTGTTGGGCATTTACACTGCAAGTTTGCTGGGACAAGCCATGACTCTCTTCTGTTTCTATTTGTATCCTCCATGAGAGACCAAGTGCTGGGGGAAGAAAAACCCCTTCAGGTCAGAGTTATGATGGAAAAAGTAAAATTATGAACCCTGTAAAGAAGGGGACATCTGTGCCTCTTCCTACCTCTAACACTGAAGTTCTGGTTTGATCTACAGGTGAGTTGTTTGAGCATGCAGTCAGACATGTGTTTGTGCTGAATGCTAAATGGCTTTGTGATCATTATTTAATGAAAACTGCACATGACAAATTATCAGGCAAGATACTTTGTTCTTTGCTGTAGAACACATGAAACAGCCCTTAAAATCTGTCAGCCTGCTGGTGCTGTTTGTCTTTTTAGAAATAGCTCTATTAGTAACAGTTGGCTCCTGCTAGTCTAGGTTTAGTGGTTAATGGCTATTGAATTCCTTCAGCATCACTAATAACAGCAGCAGACTGAGGCTGACACAGGAGACAGTGATTTGAAAAGAGGGAAAGTCGAAATTAGTGATGCAGAGGCATGGTGAGTGCACACACATGGGCCAAGAGGCTTTCCTGAGATTTTGCTGACAAGGGATGCAATTACAGTCAGACCCCACTGGGTTCTGCCTTGTTCATTATCCCTAAGGACTGCTGTTTGCTCAGCTGCTTTTCCACTTGTCTTCTCTTTTCAGTATGAAGAACTGTATAAATCAGGCTGAGACGTTGAGCTGGCGTGATTTCTGTAGTCAGGGACTGAATTTAGTTGGAAAATAGGTGAAATTCTCCAGCGATTAAAATAGGCAGAGCAAATGTGCATGGTAGACTGCCCTTAGGGGACCTGTGGTGCCACTGTGGTCAGATGTGGCTGGAGATGCTGTCACAGAAACCCTCTCCTGGCTGTGGGGCAGACTGAGTGCTGTAGCCCTTTGTGCAAGGGGGAAGATGAGTGTGTGGAGCAAAAAAATGCAAAGAGATGGTTCTACTCGCTCAGGATTTTCTCAGTCCTATCCTCTTTTAAAAAAATACATCTATGAGTTAGGTTTTGATTGCTCTGGAGTTTAAGGGATGCTTTGAATTTGAGTCTTATCTGAAATTCTGTGGTCTTTCGCTTTCAATATCAAAGCACCCAATATCCTTATATGGGTTGCTTGTACCAACAAAGACCTTTTTGAGTTAATTCAGTTAGAAAAAGGTGTTTCTAGAGGACACTTTGTGAATTCCTAATGAACAAGTATGGAAACTCTCTGAAATGTTGATGTTCATAAGGGCTCACCAGAAAACCCACTGGAGCCAAAGGAAATACTCTGATCAATTCTAGTAGTGAAAACCTTGTGAAAGATGTTACGTCAGAATGTTTTCTTCCTCCATTTATAAAATGTATTTGCTTGTCGGAACAAACTTGGCTCTTGAGACCACCTTTTTTTTTCCTTGCATCAAGTCTGTCCTATTGTTGTGGTAGGTAATAATAGTTCTAGTTACTGTTCACAAGTGGTAAAGGATCATAATTTTGAAGGACAGTCTTGTATTATGATAAGTGGTGGGGAAACACTAAGCTTGACTTTTCTGTGAGTGGTACATCCTAAGCAAAGCACCCTCAGCTGGAACTGGTCATGTCTTTGAAATGTGATCATCCACTCGATCCACAGTTAAATGTACTGTAAAGGTTACGTATCTCATATCTGCCTCAGTTTAGGATTTATCTTGGCTAGGAAAATAGACAACAGGGTAATCATGCTGATGGTGATGCAAGGCTCCCAAAGTAGCCCACTGCATTGCTTTGACTTACCTCGCTAATCACCACCTCACTGAACTGACCCAAAGTCTCCTTTGCTGTACTGTACTATATCCAGTTGAGAGAGATTGCTGGCTGTCATCACCCATCACACCCTTTCCCCTCATGTGAATAAGCTGTAACAAACCAGAAGTAAAAGCTATGCCATGTGAGTTGAGGGTGTTTGTTTTTTACCAAGTGGGAGCCACAGATCCAGGAAATACCCTCATTTCTGATGCTTGCCTCTCCAAATACAGTCAGCTGGGTACCTGGAGAAAGATAACCCAGATATAGCAGAAACTGAGATGGTAGTCAGTGTAATTTAGGCTGTAAATGTCGTCAATGAAAAATTAGACTGGTTTAGCAGGGTTAACAGCTCAGCTCATCTGTCTGGATAAACAGGAGCTGGCTGTACTGTACTCAGAGATCGTCTGTTTTCACATTAATATCTAGCTATTAGCACTTCCTGGATGTGATCCCATTTGTTGAACCAGTTATCCTTTTCCAGCAAGCTCAGAAGATAATTTTAGCTCTGGTTAGTGCTCAAGAAGCAGATGCCACCTTTACCTTTGCTTTTTCCACAACTGCTTATGTTGGGGTAACATTCCCAAGGACAGGCATGCTTGTCAGGGCACTGTGGTGGTGTCCCTGCCAAGCATCCTCTGGAGTCCAGCCCTGGTCCACAGGCACCTGACATGGCCCAAACCTGTGTCAGTCATGGTTTTAGCTGTGCATGGTTCCCTGGGGGAGAGGGCATGTTAAAATTACTCTTATGCTTTCATGGGCAGTGATCAAGGGCCCTGGTGTCACGTGAATGCAAACCTTGGAGCTTTTCAAAGTCTGATTCCTCTAGTACCTTTCATCCATGAATCTGCTCCTTCCCAATACTGCTCATGCCTGTAGAGGTCTCAGGCTGGAAGCAGTCCTGGTTGTATGAAACACTGCATCCAACTCCTGCTTTAGCTCGAAGGAAGAGCATCTGTGGCTTGTTGTTTGTGCCACCTTGAGTTTCTTACTATGAACATAAACCTAACTAATTTGATAAACTCATTCTCAGCCAAGGCACCCTGTGAGGAGTGTTTCCCTTCTCATGGGACCAGTGTAAGAGATTCAGACGTTAAGAATCAATGGTGGGTTGGTGTGAGTAAAGCTCCAGTGAGCAGGTGGAGGCTGCTCTCCATCCAGGGAGACTTATGGCCATTGTGGAAGAGGAGAGTCATTCTGAGCTATCACTTGGCTGGTGGTGTGACTATCTCCGAGGGTCTGAGTTGCATCACTGGCACAAGCTTCAGTAATATAACAGCCATGGTGTCCCCAGAAGTCAAGCCTTTACTCAGGGGGAAGCAAAAGAGAAGGGAATGCTGTTTTGACATTTTAACTGAGTGAGAATAAAATGTTTGGTCTGTAGTGGGGCAAACTGCCATGATTTCAGGCACTGCCGTTGCTTCAACTCTTGCAGACTGGGAGAAAGCCTTACTGCTGGCCCCCGAGTACAGTCAGCACTGAAGGGGGAAAAGGAACTTCTTAAGCCAACATTTGGGAGAAGAAAAGGCCATCTAATGAGAGTAGGGAGGAAGCCCAGAGTTTGTTGCTATGCTAGTTTGGAGTGACAAGTATATCTCTGGATATTAGAGAAGTAGTTTAAAATGTGCCATGGTTTTTAGCATAATAAGATGCACTGCAGATATGTCACATCCATTTCATTTCCCACAGCTGTTTACAAAAGGAAAAAAAAACAACAAAACACCCTGAGATTGGAGCAGCTGCAGTCACTCAGCTGTCAATATGGGACAAGGCTCTTTCTGCTCCTTTTATTTCCACTTCACTCTGTTCTGCGCATATTTGGCTGTTCTGTGAATTTGCAGATCATGAAATTTTTTTCAAACTGCCTTTGATCTATACAGAAAGGCTCACCCAGCTCTCATTTCAATTCATTAATACTTTGAGTAGTCATTTTAATTTTATGTTTACTGGCTTGTTTCCCTTTGTAATGTTATTTAACTGACAAGTTCATTGTGCTCTGCATTACCTTTAGGTTTTTGAGTCTAAAATGTTTCCTCTTTCCTGAAAGCTATGATCATTTTTAGAGATGTTTATAAAGGCATCTTCATTTCCTCAGGAGAAAACCTGAATTACTCTCAGCTTTGATTACTAGCAAATCAATATTGAAGCATGTAATTTTTTTTTACAGCACAAACAGAGTATGTTTTATACCATCAACTGTAGTTTGTAGTTTAAAAACCTGGTTAAGTACTAAAAGCAGCATTTTGTTTGCAAGTTCCATGCCAAGGAAAGCATTAAAGGAATTTCCTGGGTTGGAGTTTTTCCCACAAAAGTCGACTGTCTTTTCCCCAACAATTGTGAATTTAGCACAATGTACAGAATTTTAGCAAGAATCCTGCTTCCTAAACATGTGGTCGGAAGGATGAGGAGAGGATGTGTTTCTTGTTGATCAAGCACAACTGTTTCAGTGGAGAAAATGCACTACAGCTGGCCAAACCATTGATCTTGAGTTGCTGGGGTAGTGCTGTCTTTGGGAAGGGTATAGGTGTTAGCAAATCACCAAACTGTGAATCATTGACTGTCAGAAGCATTTGGCTTGTCTGTTTTTTAAGTTCTTGTGGTCAAGTGTGGTGCAGTGGGGTTGAGAAAGGAATGTATTTTGGATGACCAGGATGATGAATGTATGATGCTTCATGTTTATTTGTAATGTCCTTTTTATACTTAGAAATTGCTTACATATGTATCTGTATGTAAATAAATGTTTAATCCTTTCCACTTGGTGTTTAAAGTGCTTGATTTGTTTGGTTTTTGAACTGCAAAGTTGCCTTAAAAATATGTACTTGACATGATTTAATGTCAGACCTACAAATGAATGGCTGCTAAGGATTGTCTGCTTGGCTTGAGCATGCCAAGGCTCTTACAGCACTGGGACCTCACAAGAAGAGCAAAAGTAGAGCTGCTGTCCATGGGAGCAATGTCACTTCACACAGGAATAGAGAAAAAGTTTACTCAAAACAGAGCGTATCAGTTTGAAATGCCAAAGAAATGCCGGCATCCGTCACTAGAGGGTGGTCTTTGACAGAGGTACCATCTTCACTCACTGTCATTGCAAACCTGTAGCTGGTTAAACTCTGGTTCTAGCAAGATGCTAGATTTGTGTTGGATGGAGATGATGGTTGGATGCTTCAGTTGTCTTTTATTTGTCCCAGTGCCTTTTTTTTTAATGCTGGTTCTTCTCTTCATCCATCACCTTGCTCTTTTTGTGCTCATAGAACTCTACTGGAGTTTCCCAATGACCTGTTGTTCTGGGGACCTAGAGTCTTTATGGACAAGATCTCCCATTTTAAGCCTTTAGTCTTTGGGTCAATATATAGTTTGTGCTCTGACTCACTGTGGGGAGCAGGTTTCATCCCCAGTGCTCTGCTCCACATCAAAGATGTTTTTTGCTAACACTTACACTGAGAAATGAGCTGTGAAGCTTGAAGACACCATGTGTCTTTTATTGCCTCTTACCCTGACCTTGAAGCTCCTTCCTTGGTAAATGTCTGACATGAGGGTTGGACCATCTGCTCTGCTCCCCAGGAAGCTGGCAGTTTGAGTTAGTGATGAAACAGAAAGGTGGTTGTAGAGGGAAAAGTTCCTGCATGCTTGTATGGTAGGAACTTGGCAAAGGGAGGGGAAAAAAAAAACATCTTCAAAGCTCAGAAAGCTTAGGCATTTACTGAAAGAGAAGAGGGCTGGAATGTGTTGCCTCAGGGGGGTGATGGCTGGAGAAGCCAGACCAAGTTCTTCTTGAGGGAAGGTAAGGGGCAGGTGAAGAGTGGCAGCTCTTCCTCGTGAGGAGCATGTAACAGGTGGGCTCTGCAACCCTCCCCTTGTTCTTCAGCAGGCGTAGCAGCAAGGGCACAGCCTGTGCCAGGCTTTGCTGTGGGTAAAAGGATTATAGAAGTGTGAAGGCTCCCTGCAAAAAGGGAACAAACTGCCCAGAGAAAGAAATGCAAGACTGACAGACTACAGGAGCAAAACTAAGACAGGTTACTGCCTCTCTTCCACCTTCTCATGTACAAAGTCTTCCTACTGAGCCCTGGGGGAGCTCTGCCCAGAACATGTCATCTTGCTGACAGGGGCCTGTCACACACAGTACTTTTTGGTCCGTATGTGCAGTCCTCTCACACAAAGCACAGGAGATGTGACTGCCCTGCATTAATTTCAATGATACAGTACAGACAGTCCTCTCTAATTTAAAATCTGGTCTTGATTTATAGATTTCTATGCATAGGGAATCAACCACAAACCTGGTATGTATTTTCAGGAGTTTTATTACCTTCAGAATTAAACATGCTGAGCTTTATTCCTTTTTCTACAAGCTTATAATTATAATCACATCAGCTTGCACCAAAGCCATCACTTACCGTAGTATGTGGATGAATTCTCCGCTGAATGAAATCACTCATGCTGGACAAAACATTTCACATCAAGATGCTGTCAGGTGTATGATATAGAAGTTCTGGCAGTCTTTCATTGCTAGCTGCACTAAGTCTCTAGTGTATCACTTAGATCAAGTCTTAACACCCATGATAAAGTAGGTGTTTGTCCAGTTTATCACAAGGGAGTGCTTAAAGAGCCAGTGATACTGCAGTCTTGTATTATGTGAGAGGCTGTAGTAGAAACTAGTTTCAAGCTTTATTTGAGCACTGATGTCTTAAAACCCTTTCAATACTGCCTTCCCAGTGCTCAGTGATTTGGGTATGAGTAACGCTCTTTCCTCTTACTTCTTCTACATAATATATCAATGCAGATTTACCATTTCCAGGCAGGCCATGTTTCTTACTCCTTTTCTACTTGCCCCAACATAGATTAATCGAGCAGGATTTTATTTGCAATAAATAAAATCTTTTGAACAGGCACAGTGTTGGTAAATGCAGGCAAAAGCACAGGCTTGTTTGCTTGGGCTCACCCTAGAGCCCTGCACTATCCTGACTGAAGCAACCCTGGTGCAGTTCTGGTGCTCTGATTTGCTGTCAAGTGCAGGGCTGAAGCTCAGCTGGGCAAGCCCTCAACAGTTTATAAAGGCTATGTGTCGTCTTCTATCACCATCCCGTCCCTTTGGTGGTGCCAGGAAGCCCTGCGTAAGGATCTGTGCATCCCTTACAGCACAGCATTGCCGTGTTCTGCAACGGCGGTTTAGGCAGGTGTCACTGGCACAGCACTTAATAAGTGACTTCACTCACAGGTACGATGCTTGAAGCTACTTTGGTCATAAATTATGTTTAATTCTGCTTTCTTCTCCCCTTTTTTAGCTATAACTGGCTGTTCCTTTTTCTTATGTCTAGGATCCAGGGACTGCAGGAATCTAGGCTTGGACCTGTAAGAAGAAACCTTGAGCCTCTTGCAAGCCCCACTTATGGTTGCAGCATCCTTAAAAAACTGGGAAGAGCTTCTGGGTTGTGCTTGAGTATCTTGCTGGGTAGGACAGCAAGGAGAAAAGATGGATTGCTGGTTAAGGTCTTCCAGTGATATACAGAGCTAGGCTCCACATTCTTTTAATGCTGGGCAAGTCTTTGAACCTGTGCCTCAATTTCCTCAACTCTAAGTAGTGGAAAAAAAAAAAACCAAAACAACACTGACTGCTAAGGAAAAACTTCCTTTGTAAGGTGAATTTACCTGTGCAGACTTGCTGTGTAGCCATGAGGAACTGTTTTCTTTGGTCAGCCTGCAGACTCAGCATACTCGTACCCTTGGTAGGAGAAGCTGTATCTCATTAATACCCTGCTCAGCTGCAAAAGCAGCTTGTTTGATTTCAAATACTCTTCTCCTTCCCATCCTGCAATGAGAAATGTATTTGAGTAGAAGGTGCAGAACTTAGGGTAGGAACCAAGAAACTGAAAAGGTTTTCCTGTATGTTCTGCAAGGGTGAACCATGCTAAAAATAGCAGATAAGGGACAATGTGGGGAGAATAAATGCCCTCATACTTCCTCAAGTGTCCTGAAAATAATGAGCAGGTACATAATTATTTTATAGAAGAGATATGAAGGTACATAAAGATTACAGCTCAAATTTCAAAGGTCTGATTCTTTATCCATCCCAAATGTGGTTTCCATTGGCTGTTTTGGGCAGGTCCTGCCTTCACACACTGGGTTGTGTGCATGTCCCTGTGAGGTACCTATGGTGACACCAAGTGAATGTGAGGTTAGAGAAGCCTTTCAGAGTCACACAAGAGGCCCTTCTAGCCCTGACTCCAACAGTGACTAACATCAGATAGTAAGTACACAGAAACAAGAGGAGCACAAAATGACACATTTCCACAATACTCTTCTACCTTCCAGCCACTTTTGCCACTCAGGCAGAGACCTCTGCCCCTAAGGCAGAGGTGATGTTTTTGTAACCTAAAAGAGCTTTAGTTCAGTTTTGATACAATTTCTTCCTTGGATGCAGCCAAAACACTCTTCTGAACAAAGACTAAGTCTAGAGCTTAAGTAGGTACATTAGAAATTGAAGCCTCAAAAATAGAAATGTAGTAATGTCTGTCTTGTAGCAGAGAATGAACCGACTAAACTCTTCTTCACACCAGTCACAATGTAACTGGTGCATGTTCATTCTACTCCTCAAAATAAATAAACAGAAAAAAGAAAGTACAGCAGATAATTTTAGACCTGCTTCTGGTTCTACAAGTCAGCATTTTCAGGCTGATTAGATCCTGTGCCATCACATACTGTTCCCACATCCTTCTGCAGGACCTGACCTACAAGCTTGCAGCAGCAGCTCAAAGATTTCTCTGTTCAATGATCTTAAATGCAGCTGTTCTGGGTGGGGGATACGGAAGACTCCAAAGCGAGGAAGAGGAAAGACACTGCCAGGAATTTGCCACTAGCAGTTTTAAGAGACGGCTTGTAACTCCCCAAAACAAGGCTTGAGAGAAGCAGCCTGAGAGAAGCATAAACAAGTTGAGAGACAAGACTTGGTAAAGGAATGGGGGGGAGGAGGCCCTCTGAGCTGAGGAATGTCTCAAACACTCACAAGTACGGAACTATAGTCACGGGGTGGATAACGTGGAGTCTGGAGCTGATAAGGCTGCCTGGACAGCACAGGATCCAGCTTGGGGAGGGAGCCCTGTGAAGGCAGGGTGGTTCTGCTCTGGTGCATCTTGTAAGGTTTCAAGGGCCATCTGTCCGGTGAATGACCTTTGCTTCATTATCCACAAATTGCATCTTAAAGTTGACACCCCTGAACATTAACAAGATCATGCTAATTACATCATCCCATAAAGCATCTTACCCCTCCCCATACATGGGATAGGTAGGTGTGTGGGTCAATGGAGGGAAGGGACCAAGCATGTGTAAATTGAAAGGGTAACAGGAGTGAAGTGAAAGAGTACAGAGCCCTCAATGGCAGGACTGACACAGAACCCACACCGTGACCTGCAGTCTCATCTCTATCTTCTCTTTTCCCCCCTTTCTTTGTTACCATTAACACAAGGCGTTATCACACCACTTGCCATTAATTAGTTGTACACTTAGTCAACTACTGTGTATCCAGTTAGTACACTGTGGGAAATTAATAAATGTTTATGTATGGACTTTTGAGACTTGTCTCACCGTTGTCTCCATTGAGGATTTACAAATCTAAGTCACTTGTCTCCCTCATCCAACTGGGACATGACAGCAGACTTTAACTTGAAAAAGCCTACAGGAAAACTGGGAGCTGCTACCAACCTCTCAGGATGGTCCACTCAACTCAACTCTGTCATAGGATCCCTCTCATAGGGCTCAAATACAAGGCTCCCATATGGTATCTGAAATTATTTGATGAAAACTTGGCCCTTCTCCCCAGAGAGTCATCAGGTAAGAATCTGGAGTAGACATGGACTCCTGGGCCCTTCTTGTGATGAAAAGGCAACACTGAACACTTCACCTACCTGTACTTGATAAAGTGAGATCTATTAAATACTCAGACATTTACACAAGTTTTTATTGCACATTCTGGAGTTAATTTACAATAAAATATAGTATCTGCAAATTCTTTTCCCCCATCTCTGTGGTACAAAGATCTGCAAATAAACATAACTCATCTTAGGAAGACATATGCCAATAGGTATATATAAAAAAAATCTAATTGTTAAATAGCTCTTTCCATCTACTGGCTCTTTCCCAAAAGTCTTAAATGTAATTAAAGAGAACACAGCATAGAAATAACTTTTTTTTTTCAGTACTTCGACTTACTGGAAAAAGGGGTCCGTGCCTGGAAGAACAACTCAGGAGACCAGCCAGTTGCCCCTTCCAATACACTCCCTGAATACGCACTTGAGCAGAGATTCTTGCCTTCTGAAGGGGAACAAGTTTCTAGGACTGTATCATTTAAAAACAACGCCTCAGGGACACGTGCAGATACAGGAGTTGTCAGAATCCTGGCTGTATCCCCAGGGTTTAGTGTCTCATTTTGGAAGTACACATCATTTTCACTGTTCCCCTCTTTCCTTTCAGAAATAGGGTTCCTGCCAGTGTGCCCACAGGTCGACTGCAAGTCAGTAGCCCAGCTAACTGTTTTTAAAGCTGCAGTTGGTTTCAGTCTTTTGTTTGCAGATGGGGGGATCCACTCCTCAAAGTTAAGGAACTGCTGTGAAATAGCGCTATTACTTCCTTTGTCTTCCCTGTTACTTGGCCTTTCACGTTTCCCTAACCTGCCAGTAAGCTGCTGCAACAGAGTGTTTTGAAAGGAAGACCTAGATCGCTTGCATTTGGAATGGATTTTAGTGGGATTTTTAGGGGTGAAGATAGTGACAAAAGAGTTTTTTTCCCCAACAGGCCAGAGTTTCTGGAAAGGTTTTGTCATAGGAGTCGACTGAGAATAGGGAACAAAGTCTCGAGCACTAACTGAATTGCATTCTGAATCACAAAAGGAGAAAGTTACTGGTGTACCGTGCGTACTAAAAGCAGGAGGTGACCTGTGCAGGGATGAGCTCAGTTTTGAACCATTACTGGGAACATCTCCAGGATAAAGCATGAATTCAGGAGCTGTGACCTTTTCTGTCAAAGTATCTTCCTGTATTAAGGAATGACATGATTTATTTGAGAATTCTACAGGTTTTGCTACCGCTCTTGCACTTGCATCAAAGAGATCAGCAGAAGCATTGTAGCTGCCTTCAGGGAAGATCCTGTTCCACAGCATCTCTCCCCCATTAACACTTTTGAAGGTATTTTCTGACAGCTCTGTCAGTGGTTTTAATTCTCTTTTATATATCCTTCTTGTATTGCTGGGAGTTGCTGGATCAGAGTCCCACGCCTCTGTCAATGTAAGATCTGTTCTTAGGCTTGGTGTAGAAGAATAGTTTTCTTTATTTTCACAACCAGCTAAACAACTATCATGTGCAGAATGCACACGGGTAGCTGACTTGCTCCTTTTTAAACAAGTCTCTCCATGTTCAGCAGTATACTGCAGACTAATAAAAGACCAAGACAACTTTGAAATGTCAATATTTGCTGATTTGGGCTGCACATACCCGCTCTCCGAAACAGAAGGCTCTGATGTAACTGGCAAAGACTGTGACAGAACAGGTAGATGAACGTTAGGTATAAAGCAAGATGCTCCACATTCCTTGTCAGATGAAGATAAAACACTAGAGGAAGGCTCACATTGTGACACCTTATCAGTCAAATCAAAATCCTCTGAGTGAAGACAAGCAAGTATGTTCTGCCAACTATCATTCCCTGCTGGTGGCATGAACCTCCCCAAGACACTTTCTTCAGGTAAATCACCAGCTACTAAGGTTTGCCTGGGATAGGATTTGTTAATATTTACACCCAGCTGGCTACTTGCAACAAGGGCCCGTTTGCCTGCATCAAGGCTGGGTGATGTTACAACACTCTTGCCATCTTCTATTTTGGCTAAAAATTCATTTAAGCTTTCTGAGAACGGGAGCTCATCCCAAAGGACAGAATCTGTCTGAGACACTCCAGCTACATTTACAGGATTAGACGCCGAGACATCTCTGTTGTAAAAAAGAGAGTTGTGGGATTTTTGTAGGTAAGAATAATTTCTATTATTAATCTTTGCATAAATGCTTTTTACTGCAGATTCCAGGGGATGTTGTAACAACCTGGAACTGTTTCCATGTAAACACTCAGTCTTTGAAGAGGACAGTCTCTCTAATTTATCAGAGGTACTGTCAGTCTGACTAGGCTGTGAACTCAATTCATTACTCTCCTTATTCCCTTCCTTCACAGAAGGGCTGCAATACTGTGAATCCCAAAGGGTTTGATTGTTGTGGCTTACAGTGCACAATTCTGCAGACACAGACTTCCCCTCTTGTTTATGCTGTTCACTCACCAGCTTTCCCACTTCCAGAGTGGGAAAGTCTTCCGCTGTTACCCAAGCAACAGATGAAGTCAGGCTGAAGGACTGCTGCCAGGACCCTAAAAAACTTTCTCTGCCACTAGACTGAACAAAACAGGAGTTTCTGCTCAGGCTAGACAAGCTGCTGAGCTCACTGATAGGTTCATCTACTGGAGCTGAAGATGCATCAGGTAAGTATGAGCTGTTATTATGGCTCCTGAATTTTGATGACTGCAGGAGCCGATGGAAGTAGCTGATAACAGTAAAGCCAGTAACAGCAGTATTTGGCAGGAAGATCTGGCAAGCTGTAAGGGTTTTTGTACTTCTATTAATTCTGGAACAGTTTTGCAAGACGCTGCTGGCAGCAGAATGCCCTCCATCTTCCCTTGAACAACCCTGGAGGGGAAGAAAAAACAAACTCAGTACAATGCTTTATTTTGTGACAGAAAAAAATAAATTAACTCGTGTCTTTTAAGTCAGGCTTAAATTTAGGTCTCACTTTTTGTCAGGATTTGCAGAGAAGAGAATACAAAACAGTCTGTCACACAAAGCAGTACTCCCTGGGAAATAAGCACTGGCAAGGGCTATAAAGGGCACCACAGTGAGAGGCGCTTTGCTTGTTGCAATTACGCAGAGTTTTGGAGCTGGAAAAACAACGAAGAGCTCTAAGAAACGACTTCACAGAAAATGTCTTCCTCCCTTTAGGGCACCGAGTGCTTCCGGGCTTCCTCCAGCATAGTTCTGTGCAAATGGCTAGCTGCCTAAGGCTAATGCTTTTCTTTCATCTCAGAAGCACTGGGCAGTACTTGAAGCAAAGCACTCCAGCACCAGATACCTGACTTGGCAGCTCAGCTAAAGCCAGCATGGTATTTTCTGTGCACTACCTCTGTGAAAGGGAAATAAGATACAACCTCTACCTTCTCAGTTTTATTTGGAGTAGTGTTTCAAAGGAGCTTCAGCTGCAATTCTTTAGGGAACCTGCTTTTCTCTACACAGAAATTACAGTAAAAAAAAAAAAAGACATTAAAAGTAGAGGGAATTATCTAATGTTTTGAGAAGTGGGTAAACCCTTTTTCACCTCCCCTTCAAGGTCTGGCAATGCCAGAGGCCAAAAAAGCAAATATAGCTGTCTTCAAATTCAGCAACCCTCCTACTCCCTGAATCTATGCAAAGGTTGGAGCCGAAGGCTGTTAGCCAAGGACAGTACTCTTCTACGTTAAGTCTTAAAAGACTTATGTTGACTCCTGAGTTTTATCTGAGAGAGTGCAACTGTACGCATAGGTGAACACAACTATACAGAAACATCTACCGCCAAAGGCTGAACAAATTGTCTTTGAATGCACGTTCAGTCCTTGTGTGTGCAAGAGCAGCCATAAGGCTGTTAATATGTACAATTACTTATATTTGTAAAGGCATCAGACCTAGAGACCTGCGGAACGGTTCCAGTTAAGTTAATCCATAAAGTCCTCCAACTTTCATTAAGATGCTGTGCATTAGGAAAATCTCAGCTCATATACAAACCTTGTGGTACCTGTGGGAGAGGAAAAACACCTGCCAGGTAGGATTTAGTTCACAGACTTCATAATATGACTCACACAAGCATCACTTGAAGAGAACTTAGTAGTATTTCCATAGAAACAATCTTCTAAGAACTAATATTTCAAAGTCTGTTAAACACATAAAAGAGCCACAGATGCATATGCTGAACAGCTGTACTTTATCAACATTTTTAAACACGCTCTTAAATCCAGAAATACCAAAATGCTGCAAGGGGATGTGTTTCTTCTTACATTTCAGACACCAGGAGACTACAGCATGGGCAAGGTAGGGCAGTGCTTGAAAAGACAGTCTGTTTCTTGCTTGAACTGTACATGGTTTTTTACAGACTTCAAGCTGTTACTGATATGCAGAGGAGCTGGCACTGCTCAGGCTCTCTGAAAAGCAGGCCTGACAAGCTGTCAAGCTGACTGCTGCCATTCAAGATGGCTTTTGGATGTGACTCATTTAAAACAACACAAGAGTCTGGGGGAAGAGGAGCAGAATCCTTCCCATGTCCTAGCTCTAAATTTTCTCAGATTCCTAAAAGATGTGGTACATGATGCTTTGATAACTCAGTCTATGCTCCTAACTGGCTACAAACTAATGAAAAAACTCATTGTAAGAGAGTAACGTGGATTTAAAATTACCTTCACTCCAAATATAAACCTTTTTCCAATGAAACAGGTTTCTACTGCTTGAACTAACTCTCCTGGAGATGCATCTCTGTGTGTTTCTCCTGACAGCTGATTGAAGTCTTGAATACACCTTGAGTAAAAACATACAATTATTGGACCAACAGAGGAAGCCTTACATAGCATTTCAGATGTAGTATAGGTAGGACACGTGCTGAAGAGAAGATACTGTGGCACGTTAAACTAAACATAGAATGAAAACATGAAACCAAGAACCTGTAAATTCAATTGTTTACTTCTATTTCACTAACAGGTTAAGTGAAGTAAACAAACCATTTGAATAGGTTTAATATACACACGCAACTTTCAGGTGTTCCCTGTGTGGCTGTGATTTCTGTATCAACACAATGACTACATAACACTGTCAATATGCTGCTATTGCTTACACACCCTTTCTGCCCACATCTTTACAGTGGCATCCACATTAAGACATACAAATAACTGGTTTTCCACAGCTGATAGTAGTACAGCAGTCTAGTGTAGAACGCCTGCCATGAGAATGTCATTAATGCTGCTATTATGGGATTTAAGAAGGGTTCACTTTTGACCCATTGATAACACAAGGCATTGGAAAATAACACAATTGAAAAACAAGCAGTGAATGTGTGTGTGTGTGTGTGTATATATATATATATATATATATATATATATATAGATATAGATATATTTTTCTCTCTATCTCCCATCCTAGCAGTTTCATATATCAGTCTGAAGCTTATAATGTAGGTGGTCAGGCTCTGAGGACTAAGAGACTTCCTTAGAAATCCCTCCTTGCTGAAGGAAAATCCAGTCACACTGAAGACCAGTCATCATAAGGTGCACACTTTTTTTCCCCTCAAATCCAAACTGTTAAAAAAACCCCAACAAAACAGAGGCTCTATCTTTACCTTAAGACTCTTTTAAAATCTTAAAGAAAAATTCTAAATCTTTGGAAAAGCCAACTTACTCAGTAATCTATCATTATACAAAGAAAATTCAATCTCAAATAAAGAAAGAAGGACACAAGGAAGTAGCCCAATCAACCAAATTGTGACACTCCCTTAGCAGGTGGTAGCTGCCTTCAGAAGAAGAGCAGAGGATCTCTTACACAGAAGTAATCCATTTCAAGATTTCAGGAAGGAACCAAACTTCAGCATTTTCTCAAGGTGATTGGTATCAAGGAAATGATGGAAATGAGCACTTTATCAGCTTCTACCCACTCATCTCCCCACCATCTCAATTTTTTTAGGCTGAAGAAAAAGTAACAGCTACGTGGTTAGAAAAAAAATCCATTCCTTACCTCTGCAGATTTTCTGCGGTGACCCCGAAGAATGGATCTAAGCAACTTCCAAACACAGTAATGTCAAACAAATCATTAGTGTCAGCAATCTTTAGGGACAATCTATATCTGTAGCTTGCATCTTTAGCTTCACCTGTGTAGCCACATTTTAGACAATTAAACCTGACAAGACAGTAAGGGAATAAAAAAAAGGGTAAGAACTGAGGTAAGAACTTCTTGGCAGCTGTAAGTATTACTACTATAATGTATCATCATATGTCCCATTACAAACTATATAATTCTTCCTTACTCTTTACTCCTTGAAGCACTAATCTTACCACAGGCTCAGCAAGGTGCCTGTATCATGACAGAACACCTCTGCCTTCTTTTACTGATTGATTAAATGCTAGCCTGTTGTGAAGCTGGAGAGAGACAGTGGGCTTTGAATGACCTGTTATGGAGTAATTTTGAATTTCCTGCACCTCCATTTTTCCATTTTGTTCTGGTTTAGGATTTTTCTTGCTGTAGCTTTAGTATAATACCTAGATTTAAATAAAATTATCAGGAAACGGCACTGTTATCTTTTCTTCAGCATTTGAAACAACAGATAGTCCTGATCTGCAAAGTCAGCTTCTTCCATTTAGTGCTGACATTCATTGATTTACTCTTCTTCTATGTGTCAACAGTGGGATTAAAAAGGAAAATCCATACATTTCTAGACACACAGTAAGTGGAAGAGTCCTACAGGATGACCTGATGCATTGCACACATAAAATGAAAAGAAATTTTTAAAAATTAGGACATGATTTGGAGGTGCTGTCAACCAATGGTTTCCAATTTAGGAAGAGCACTGAAGAACTGGACTGCAGGGATGCACCTGAAGCTCTTAACACATACAACTTATTCTCCTAAACTGCCCTTCAATAGTGCAAGGCACTGAATGGAATAGAATTCTTGATCCATAACAAGCTCCAAGCTGCTACTGGAATATAGAGATCATAACAGTGCTAAGTAACTGAAATTACAACTTATTTCTACAATGGCTAGATTTTCACCAGTTTGTTTTAACTTGTGTTAGGCTAACAAGAGATTCCCAAGGCCAGTGACAGTTAACAGTCCCCAAAACAGGATGTACCTTCTGGAATCCAGTATCAGCCTAGAAAAGCATGCTTTACAGGCAGGATAGATAAAGCAGGAGTTCTGGACAGAAGTTACAGAGGCAGCCAAGAGTCCTCTCACGCTACTCATGTGCTCACAGTACCACCTGAAACAAGAAAATCAAAATAGTGCAGAGAGTTCTCATTTTTTGAGATATTAACATTAACTGCTTTCAGCTGGGTTTTTTGAACATTTTGAAAGGCAGCCCTCAAGAAATTATGGTCTCTGTTTGAAAACGGTAGCCCAGCTGAGGCAACATCTCTTATTACCCTTAATCAACCATCGAAAAAGAAAAAAAAAAAAAAAGTTACAAAAAGCAACAGGCTGCCCAGGACAGTGGTTGAGTCCCCATCCCTGGTAGTTAAAAGACATGTAGACATGGCACAATGGTGGACTTGACAGTGTTAGGTTTATGGTTGGACTGATGACCTTAAGGGTCTTTTCCAACCTAAATGATTCTATGATTCTAAGTGTTCATGATATTTGTACACCATTGCAGATAAATCATGCAAATTCCCATTCATATTTAGGGAATCTTTATTAGAACTATCCTTGAACCCAGCAACAAATCCATTTGTTTTTGTTTTTTTTTCCTTAATTTAGAATGAAGTTACAACACGGGGTTAAAAACTGAGATGATTCTGCACTTGTAACTCTGCAAATGCCTTCAATACCAAGGTCTCTGAAAGGAGAGGATGCCCAGAAAACCTCAAAAGGGCTTGCAACTGCAACTATGTTCATGCCCTTTGAGCCAAAGGGACATCTCTACGGTACATATCACTGATTCAGTGATGAGACTGTATGGATCTGACAAATGATGAACCAAATGTTTAAATAAAAAGGAATTATTTTTATTCAGTATAGCTTTTCTACAGTATTATCTTTCCTTTATTATTATACTGTCCAAAAATACCAATTTTTAGGAAACGTCCCCTATTTTAGAAAGCGTAACTTGTTTCTCAGCAGATGCTAGAAATATGTAGACAAAAATACCCTAAAGCACCTCATATCATAGAGTTCCAACTTAAACAGCCCAAATGTTCTCTCCAGCTGAATTAAAGGACACCTTAAAAATCCTTCTTTGCAAAAGCACTTTTATCACAGTAATAGCTAAATATACATCTCTTTTTAATGGAAACTGCAGGGTAAACTCAGAATAGGAAGCAAATGTCACATCTTCATCCCAGAACTCCTTTAGGGAGGCAGAAGGCCAAGGAGATAAAGGAGATTCAAGGACAGCTTTTACATCTTAAAACCTATTCAATAATCAACAATGATGTTTTGTTCATACTTCACCACAAAAATGTTCAACTTACAGGGTATCCCTTTGGCCTTAGGGGCACCATTCTCAGCATTCTGGTAAAAACAAGATCTGTAACATGAGTACTAGAAAAATGTGAGTAACTAAACTCATTACTCTCAGTAGTTCAAAAGGGAAAAAAAAAAAAAAAAAATCACATATCCCAATATTCCCTATGGCAGAAAGGCCAGGAAAACAGAGTCAGGGGAAGGTAGAGGCTTTACAGGAGAGCCAACAAAAATGAAAAAAAGTCTCTTCAGTTCACATATTAATATATTAGGTCAAATGAGTCTCTGTTAAGTGGTGCATGCCTTTAATTCCGCCAAAACAGAATGACTTTGGTTTAGTTACAGTACAAGTAAAGGGTATGTGGAAAACATACCAATATATAGAAGTAACAAAATTAAGTCTCATTTTGTTATTGCCCAAGAAAGCTGGATTTGCAGAAATCAGCAGCTTTCACATTCCAACTGGTTTTCAACTCAGAGCTACATAAACAAAGTATGTTGTTACCTGCAGTTTTTAATGAAATTTTAAAATCCCCACACCCTGGAAAATGGAGCAAATACTTCAAGTATTTCATTGGAATATGAGAGATAAAGCATAGAATGTAAATATTCACACAGGTTCTGTTATGAGTTCCCTTTAGTGCAGACAGACTCAAGGTCTATACCTCTATTTCTCTTTGGTAGAAATACAATACTCGTTATCTGGACCTATATAAAAGGGCAGTATAAATATATATGTTTTACTTTATTATTTTTTGTTAATAAACAAACCAAACCTCTGGACCCACATACCCAGCCAGGAATCACACGGCACTTCAGGTGCTCCCTACCGCCAGGCTCCAGAGAACTTTCAAGTCCCACCAAGATTTTCACCAGTGCCTGGTGCCCTCTAGTGGTCTCATCGCCTTAAACGCGCCCTAAGAAATAACCCAAAACACACACGAGAAGTTGCTACAGGTCTCACACTGCAATTTTCACCCCTTAACCAACAGCCTCCTTCCGCTCCAGGCCGAGCAAGCGGGGAGCGGGTACAGCACAAGGACAGGATGGGCCGGACAAAGCTGCCTGGCTTCGCTCCACCCTGGCCGCTCTAAGCTTTGCTGGATACCCAGGAAGCGCTTCGCTACTATCGTTCTTACCGTGGTGCCTATTCTACCGCTCCGTGACCAAACAGAGTCTCCGCCCCCCGGCCCGGGGACTGCGCTGAAGGGAAACGGAGAGCCGCCGTCACCCGGGCAAGGGAACGCGGGCAGCTAGCGGTAGCGCCTCCCTTCAGAGCCCTCCGGCCGCATGGGAAGGAAACGCCGGTTATCGCGGCCGTGCCCCCATGGCCTCAGGCCCAGCCCCGGGGGAACACCGCCCGCTGCGAGACCCCACGGCCCAGGCCCGGCCCTGAGCGGAACCCGGAAGACGGATGTGAGGGTTGCTGGGGGCGGGGACGAGGCTGCGCTCACCCAATCGCTACGCAGACCGGAGGCAGGGCCGCCCCACCTGCCCAATAAGAGCCCAGCCTCGCTCTCACACGCCCCCCCCCATATGCAGCGCCTAAAAACGAGCAGGGCAGATCACGTGCTTCAAGCAGCCAATCGCTGCCTCCTGTAGGACGGCGACCGAACCCTCTATCTAAGTCGCCGCAGCCAACCGCGAAAGCGCGCGCGAGCCGCCCTCA